GTGTCACTAGTGCGGAGGTGAGTAATGAGGTCAGCGACTGTGGGAAAGGCGGCCAGATCCGGGAAAAGATAGGGCAGGGAGAGACGGCCGATCGTAGCAGAGGCAGGCGAGGAGTAGCGCGCTATTACAGCATCGTACAGTACCTTAGCAGTCTTGTGCTGGCCAAAATGCGCGCGCTCATCTAACGGTAGGTGGCTGCGAATGGCTAGGCGAGCGCGAGCGTCACGAGTTTGCCACTCGGAGCGAGCAGTACTATCAGCATTCTCAGCAGGTGCGGGAGCGGTTCCTGACGCGTGATCATATAGTGAGATATCGTCCTTAGCAGTGATCTGTAGGAACAGGTGCAGGTCGTCTAGCCAAGCATCAAACTGAATCGGGCGGCCCTCAGCATCGAAAGAGAGAATGGTGGGAGTAGCCATGGTGGTAGTAGTAGCAGTAACAGCAGTAGCTGTAATAGCAATAGCAGTAGCAGTAGGAACAGGAGCAGCAGTTGCTGCAGGTGGGGCAACGCGGCTCGGTAAGGGCGGCGCGGCGCGGCTCGGGCAGGACGGCGCGGCGCGGCTCGGGCAGGCAGGGCGGCTCGACGGCAGGCCTGTGCGCGGTGCGCGGTCGCGTCTAGGGTGCAGCTGCGCGCGGGCCGTGTAGGCGGCGACTAAGCGCGAGCTGCAGCAGCCGACGAGCTACAGCCGCGGCGCGCGGGCTGCGACCTGCGGGCGGGCGGCGGCTGTACGAGCGTCGGCCTAGGGGCGAGCGGCGACCTACGGGCGCGCGCGCGAAAACGGGGGGGGGGGGGGCGCTCGGGCGGCTCGCGGGCTGCACGGGCAGCGTGAGAGAGAGGGCGCACTAGCAGAGAGGCGCACGAGGGCGCTAAGCAGTCGGGGCGCACGAGGGCGCTTCTAACGGAATGGTGGGCCCTTAGAACTAAGCGGTCCTAGGTTCCTAGCCTAGGCTCGTAATACCATGTTAAAATGAACAAGTGTGTGTGCACTAGAAAAGTGTTGGGTACAAGTAGGAAACCCTAAATTTACTGAATCCCATAGTAACTACCCCACTACATCCTTAACAAATTGTAGAGTATAGTTTGACACATATAAGCTACTTTTCCAATTACAATGTTATGAGCGCGCACAAAAGCGTGTCGGTGTACCGTCTTGGCTCGGCCTCCCCCCTACTTTGAGGACGCGTCACAAATAACACATTGGAGGATGATCGTGGACATATACCGAATCTGTGAGCATCGATCACTTCTGAGAAAAATAAGTCACGATTGCCCCCATGATCATTACCAGGCGGATTTAAAAAAGTTATTGCGAGCTTTAGGTCGTATCCCTGGCTGGTGGCAAGAAGTTGGTGACAAGAATTTTGCGCACGCAATCGGTTAGAAAAACCGCTTGACCAATCGCATTGGCCGGGCGTCTGTTTTGGACCAATCATGCGCGGAAACTTCTTGCCACCAACTTCTTGCCACCAGCCAGGGATACGACCTTAGAAGCAAAACGAGTAATTTAGCTGCGGTGGCAGATCAATGAAGCTCAGTGACTTATCAGCACCTTAACGAAACAGGGATACACGAAGTTTGGAACCTATTGCACACCCACACACCGATCCCCACAGGGTCGATGTGTTACACATGATACCCAAGGTTGCCTTGCTAAGAGGGCTCTTGAGTGATTCTTGCATTTCGCTAAGCTTTCGTCAACTCGCACTTAGCAAAAAGGGCCTTTAAAAGATTTTGTAACTCGCTGTTGACCGTTTGACATGGGTCTCTTCTGTCAAACTTCGGTTTTTGTGGTTCGTATTGCTCGAGGCGCTTATAAATAGGGTGCAACTGGCTGGTACCCTAATACAAGGGTGTAGACTTTCCATCGCGGACAGAGCAAATTCGCGTGCAGGGGCTGGGCATCTTGTGTATTTGTGACGCCGAGCCTTCGAAACCCGGCCTGCTGGGTCGATAAGGTTCGCACCAGATTGGTTCCGCAACAGGTCATAAACCTCTCTCATTGCAACTCGCTACAGCTGTCATTTTCTGCGCAACAGGCTGGCATTGCGGCGACTTGATCTCTTGTGCTATAAAATCGTTTACTGTACTCTCTATTGCAACGAGACGAGACGAGATTGTGCTTGAATTTCTCGCAACCCCTCTCCGTTCCCTCCGTCCCGTCCGTCCCGTTCCGCTCCGTTCAGTCTAGGTCTAATTCGGCCTAGTGGCACTCTGTGGGGATGACCACGCTCGATGAGAGGTGGGAAGGTGGTCTGCCTGTGAGGGGAAATGGCAATCTGAGCTAGGAGTAAATGAAGCGGGGGCTGTTGAGGGCGCGCTGCACTTCTATTTTTTAATTCGAAAATGCTGAAGAAGATCGATCCAAATCCGAAATTTTGGTGAAGTTCGGATTACTGTGCGTTTGGCGTTTACTCAACTGAATTTTGTCTTGACTGAACAGTGTTACTGCTCGAAAAATGCACCACGCTCGTGTTTTGCATGCGAACTTGAACGCCATAGCGCCCGAAACGCGGGCAAACGATACTGCAGAATTCCCCGTCAAATGCTCGAACTTGACAGAGAAGTGCACCACCCCAAAAGGTGAACTCTAGTTGCGAAATGAACGAAACACTAACGACGGTAACAGAATAGTTACGATGACTAATTGAAATGTAGGATTGGCTAGGCGATGTGCGACCTCATTTCGGTCGCACGGCAAGTAGGAGTTCGGGTTCCCCAAAAAACCAGTCTTGGTGCACCTGACAAAGGGTGCCGATATTCTGTGTTTTTGCATGTTCAAGTTCGAAAACACTGAAACGCGTGCAAGTTCGCCCAAAACCCGCTCCAAAGAATTTTCAAATGAATAAGGGCGCGCTGCAATTCTATTTATTAATTCGAAAATTCTTTGGAGCGGGTTTTGGGCGAACTTGCACGCGTTTCAGTGTTTTCGAGCTTGAACATGCAATAACACAGAATATCGGCACCCTTTGTCAGATGCACCAAGACTGGTTTTTTGGGGAACCCGAACTCCTACCAACCGTGCGACCGAAATGAGGTCGCACGTACGCTGTAGACGTCGCTTAGCCAATCACATCACTTCGTTTAGGCATCGTAGCTATTCTGTTACCGTTGCTTGTGTTTCGTTTATTTCGCAATTGAAGTTCACCTTATGGGGTGGTGCACTTCTCTGTCAAGTTCGAGCATTTGACGGGGAATTCTGCAGTATCGTTTGCCCGCGTTTCGGGCGCTACGGCGTTCAAGTTCGCTTGCAAAACACGAGAGTGTTCACTTCTCGAGCAGTATCACTGTTCAGTCAAGACATAGTTCAGTTGAGTAAACGCCAAACGCACAGTAACCCGAACTTTACCAAAATTTCGGATTTGGATCGATCTTCTTCAGCATTTTCGAATTAAAAAATTGAAGTGCAGCGCGCCCTGAGCCACCTCAGTCGTGTGCACGGCAATCTCTGGTCCGTGTCGGGTCAAACGGTAGCGATTCCGATTGCACTGTATCGGTGTCCTGATTGAACAGACGGTGACAGAGCTGGAGAGGGTTGTTGTGCCTCCAGCTCAATCATACACCCTGTTTCTCGACCCTCTCACCTTGCGCGATTCGCTGCTACAGTGCGGTCAGGTGCCATAAACCGTATGGCTGAAACCTGCGGGCAAAGCCGCACCAGCTGACGGAGTGGTACTGGGGGCAAAATTTTTCTTTATCGCTGTATACCCTTTTCAACCGCTTTGAAACGCTTGGTTAATGTTCTTTACCATGCAGCATCCTAGCTAACCGCTTTCTTGTGAATGTGCTTGTACCGTCGGTGATAAGACCATTTCAAACGTGGTGACGTTCTACAACTAGTGCATGTTCTGCAACCAGATGCTCTGCTAGCGCGAAACAGGGTGTAGACCACTCGTTTGTAATGCTCCGCAAGGAGGGTCTCCTCGTTGGCCAACCGTACGTTCTTAGAGCACCGCCCCTTCGATCCGTTACTATCCGCCCCGCCAGCTCACAACGCCGGTGCAAATGATGGATCGGGAGGGAGGGATCCGGAAAGAAGATTGTCAGCTAAGCAGCTACTGTAGGAACACAAGTTGGAGCCTTTTCAACCGTTCAAACACGTGTCGGAAATCTGACGAACTTGCCTTGGGCCCTTCGTATCTCCCGACCAAATCAATCCAATGACAGTTCATCACGTGAATGCTATCATCGTGCTCCCGTGCACTCGTCATTGTCACCCCACGTTCACGTGGTACACGTGGAGTAAAAAAATTTCCCGACTCAACGGCGAATGAGCAGGGCGCATTCCAGATTTTTTTCGTCCTCAGATGCGCGTCGCGCGTCAGAGATGACGCCAATTGCTTTGATGCAATCGGGATCCCGTCGTTATGCGTTCGATAAAGACAACTACTACTACTTGTGTGCGAGGTTGCGACGCCAGACTCATCTCGTAGTAGGCGCCTCGTGACAGATCGTACACCATGTGTCGTGAGGAAGCTCGTCGGCATTAAAGAGATGCTAGTTGGACTATGGGACCTGCCTCGGCGGTGGAGCTGCCTGGCGGCGGTGGGAGCTGGCTGCGAGCGAGTCGCAGCCGCGTTCCAGAAGCACTCTTTGCTTGGGGTGGTTTTCAGCAGCCTCGCCCTCTCACTTTGACCAAAGCGGGTTCTTGGACTTGGCTTCGATTCGACCAAAAGGGCCTTTGCGTTTCGAGCAGCTCTCCGCACCAAGAGAAAGAAGTCCTTCTAGCGGAATCTCCCTAGCAAACCAGACAGAGAGACACCGACCTGCAGAGATGGACAAACAAGGTCGCGTTCTGTATCAAGCGACTGGCCGCTTGGGAAAGTTGCTGGGGCGCCATGATGCCAAGGACCCCCGCATCATTGGAGCAGATTTTGAAGCTCCTCAAGGAAAGACCTGCGGATATGAACATTTAAGATCGAGCTCCCAATCAGGAACCAAGCCGTTAGGACAACGCCAGCGCTTGAGGACCTTGCTGTCAGAGCGGCAGGGACCAATCCCCATGATTGAAGGCAACATTCGTCCGTCTCGGCCGATTTTAGACGCGCCGTTGGAATCGAATGAGGAGGAGAGTGGCCTCTTGGCGGAGCTATTGAGGCGACATGATGAACGAGCTACTTTTGAGGCGCCTCAAGAGTGGCAGACATGGAGTGAGGAGGAGAGTGGGTTGCTGGCGGAGCTGTTGAGGCGCCAGGGGACAGTTGAAGACCCCATCGTCAAGGCGGCCGTCATGCATCTGCCTCACCCATTTCTTGATGTGCCTCAAGTCTCCAACGAAAAAACTGGGCAGCTGTCAAGGCGCCAGGGACAGCTTGAATACGCCGGCATGGCTCCTTTCATATACCAGCCGCGGTTGCCTGTGAAGCCCCAGGAGCCCACACCGCTTCTGTCCCATTCAAGTGCTTCCTCTGAAGTCCCTGGAATGGAAAGGGCCATGGTGGAGCTCTACCGAGAGCAGCAGCGGCAGCCGCAGCAGCAAGTGGGAGTGGAGAGCTGGATATTACATGCTTATAAAGCCACCAGAACAGAGAGTATGGTGGTACCTTGCCTTGGTGATGTCAATACCATTCACAGAGATGCAGCGACCAGAGGAAAGAGTATGGTGATAGCCAACAACACCATTCATAAAGACGCAGCAAAGAGAGTAGAGGATATGGTGGTAGCAGGCCTTGGTGATACCACCACCATTGATAGATACGCATCAGCATCGGCCTCCCTCGTGCAACAGCAGCAAGTGGCGGTCACAAGCTGGGTGGCACACGCTGAGCTGGCAGGGCTGACTCTGCCACCCAATCTGATCCAAGAATCTGTACATGCTGCCCACTTTGCGCAGATGCAGATGCAGGTGGAGCAAGGTGGGACGGAGAATTTGACTCCGCAACAGATATTTGAGAACCTTCAAGTGCAAACGGAGGTAGAACAACCGATTCTGGCTTTCCCAGAGCGGCTGGAGGAGGGAGGCTGCTTGGGTGTAACTCAAGAGGAGGGGGGGATGCTTGAGGTTTTGATGTTGCAGGATGGGGGGATGGAGATGCATTGGGGGGGGATGATGCAGGAGGGAGGGTTGACGCTGGACGGAGGGATGATGCAGGGGTTTGGGATGATGCAGGAAGGAGGGATGAGGCGAAATACTTCTTTGGAGGTGCATCAAAAGTGTGCGTTTCAGGAGGCACAAGGGAGCGTCAGCGTGGACCTTTCATCTACAGGCGGGCACACTGGGCCAGGCAACCCCTGCCTTAGCTCACCGGAGAATGAATTGCTTCCAGGCTCCCCAGCATCACCCCCTGCTGCTGCAGCTGCTGCCGCCTCCTATCCACACAGTGCTTTTGTCTCTCCCAGCACTCCTGGTGTTTTCTGCACGCCTGCCTCTGCTGGTGCTTGCTGTTCACCTGCTGCCGCTCCGAGTGTTTGTCCTGAGGGGGAAAGAGGGCAGGCCTTCACATTGCAGGAGCCTCCTGCCACGCGGGCGCCCCTGGTTGGTTCAGAGTTGATACCCGAGTGGTTGGAAGTGAAGGGAGTGGAGGACGAGAGGGGAGTGAGAGAGGAAAAGAGTGAAGTGAGAGAGGCAAAGCAGAAGGAGGGGTGGGGAGAGGAGGACTGGAGGCCGCGCATTCGAGCAAGATTGGGGCTCGGATGCATACAGGCGAGGAGCATGAAAGAGAGACGCCGCCGTGATCGCATTAGGTGACTTGATCCTCTCCTTGTTACACCTCCCTCTCTCCTCTTCATCCGTCTCTCCCCCTCTAACCGCCTCCCTTATGTTTCCCTCCTTCCGTCTCTTGTTCTATTCCATCCCCTTTCCCTTCTATCCCCCACTACCTACCCGCACCATTCTCCTCCCTTTTCCCGTTCACCAACGTTTGCTCCTCCTCTACTTTCCCTCCCCTTCTTCTTCTTGTGGAACACTCACTACTGTTGGCATTTCTTGAACATTCAGTGGCAGTCGGCCTTCTTTATGAGGCCTGAGTGAATGGCAGGATCTGGATTAAGTGAGTCTGAGTTCTTATCCTAAAGCGGTGCTTGTATTGATTGTGACTGTATCAGGAAAGGCCTGGAGCAGCTTCATCAAGCGCTACCCCCATCTCTCGCAAGAGCACAACTCGATACAGCCACAATGGTCGAGTCTGCGTTCACTCACATAAAAGACCTGCAGGTACACTTGCAGCTTCTGACATCCATCAAATGCCTTTCAAAATCGATTTTCTAATACTTTCTTTTCATTACTAAAATTTGGCTGACATGTATATATGTTCAAACAGTTCAGGTGCCGGACATGTACACGACAGTCCGTGAGGCCGCTAAAGAGTGGTTTCTGATTTCTGGTACCTGCTGCTTCTGAAAAAAGTTTTGGCTTCTGGAGTTTTTATTATTCATGCAGGCCCGGATTAAATCGCTGGAGAACCCAACAGATGCTTTGGTGATGTGAACACCCTTGCCAGGAGAAGCCATCGTCGAGACACCAGGATGTGTAAGGGAGGAAGCAGCATGTCGCTCAGCAATCGGCGTTTCTGGGACTTCTGACTCGATCTAAACAGCACTGGAGAGTCCAAGCCCTGCAGCAGCGGCACCCAGTAGCATGGCAAAAGGTATTTCAGAGTGACTTCTGAGTCCAATTAGCATCATTTGAGAATCAAAGCCTTGTAGTGGAAGTTGCCTGGTAGCACAGCCGGGTGACCTCTCTTCTACCATTGACCGCAGAAACGAAGAATTGCAGTCGAGGCTCCTTGTAGCACAGCAAGATTCCTGGTTCGGTTCGGTGCCAAGTTTCTGCCCACTGGTTGCTGATGTACTCAGGGTGTCACAAAGTGACATATTATACCGGTACCTGCTTAGCCATTGGACATCCTCTTTGTGTACGTGCTTTGATGAAAGCAATGCTGCCTATAATGTGATATGTTTCCCCAGGCGTTCAACACATACGGTACCAAGGAGCAATGGCGTTGTAATTGTTGGAACAAGTAACTTAAGCGCCTCTGTCATGTTGAAGCACTAAGTTACAAGCGAAGCAAAACACAGCGAAGCATTGGCGAGTCAACCCTCGGAGGTTGAACAACCGCTGGAGGTTACGCGAAAGTCAACGGTCAGCGACCTTTGACCTGACAAGTACAGCGCGATAGCAAGGACAAACAACTGACTCGTTATTGAGCAGTTGCCCGAGTCGTCACTGTATCAAACCGCAACAGCAACAGCAAAACGGTTATTAGCAATCACCCGTCATATTCCCTTGTACTCTTATAAAAGCTTGTATCTCTCTGTTTTAATCAATCTACTTTGCCCTCACATACCAACGCAAAGTGGTTCACAAACTTCTCATTAAACGCTTCCGCTATTACATTGTTCTACTCAGAGTTTAGTCCTGCAAATATCCTAAGGGCTTTTTGTGAAAAGTGGCGAACAAGGAATGACTGAACTAGCAAGGAGATGGGTACAAGTAAGAAAACCTAGCACTGTTGTACCCCATACAGTCTACCCCACTACAGCCTACACAGACTATGTCATATATGTTTGACACACCCCCATAGGCAAACTGGGGGAGAACAAGAGGTCACAAGACCAGTCAAGCAAAGTAAGGCAAGCGCAGGGTGGATCACAACGTCACCACACAATCCGAGCACAAGCACAAGGCCACAAGGCCAGTTCACATGCGGAGTTATATATCAAGGTGAACAAGCAAGGCAGTGATCTCAACCTAGCAAGGGTAAGCATGCAAGTGCAGGTATATATACATCAAAGTCAAGAAGTGAGCAAGTGAGGCCAAGTAGGCACAAGACCTAGCATCGTACAAAGGCGCTAATGATCACAAGGCTGAAGTGCCTTGGTAAAGATATCAGCAGTGTTGGCCCGAGAGGCCACGTAAGCAAGCGCAGCTGACCACGCTGCTGCAGCTCACGAGCAAGGAAGTAGCGAAGAGCAATGTGCTTCGTTCTGTGCTCCAGTCTGTGCTCCCGACACAAGGCCATCATCGCCTTGTTGTCTACGTACAGAATTGGAGGAGAACGAGGCCGCTCTCCTAGGTCAGTCAGCAGGTAGGTGAGCCAGCGTAACTCCTGTGCAGCCATGGCCCCTGCATAGATCTCAGCCTTACAGCTGGAGCTCAGAACAGAAGACCAGCGGGTAGACCGCCACGAAACAGAGGCGGAACCAAGACTGAAGGTGTAACCCTGTGACGACCGCTGCGTAGCCAAGTCGTCAACCCAAGACGCGTCTGCGTGACCAGTGAGGACCACTGGACTCTGCCCTCCAAGCACGTGCCCCATGCTCGACGTACTGCACAAGTAGCGCAACACCCTCTTCGCTGCAGCCATGTGCTCTGGTCGGTGTCTCCCAAGAGCAACATAGCATGCCAAGATGCTAAGAGGGTATGCCAGGTCAGATCGAGTGCAGGTCATCAGGTACATGAGGCAGCCAACAAGCTCTAGGTACGGGCCACTCGGCTCTACGGACTCATCCAAAGGCAGAGCTGAGAGCGAGTGGCAAGTAGACAGAGGAGTGGCCTGAGGCGAGGAGTACGTGAAGTCGAAACGCTGAAAGACGTGCTGCACCATGTATGACTGAGTCAGGGTAATGGTGTGCCGTGCTCTATCCCGGATGATTTGCATACCAAGATAGCTGTGCAGTTCACCCAGGTCTGTGCACGTGTGTCTCTTCTGTAGCTCGGACTTCACGTGGGCGAGTCCAGCAGTGTCAGCAGTAGCAAAGACCAAGTCGTCGACGTGCACGAGGATGTAGAACAACGGCAAAGAGGTGTCGGTGCGTAGAAACAGCGACGGGTCAGAAGTAGAAGGAGCAAACCCAAGAGCCGCAAGTGTAGTCCTCAGTGTGTCGTGCCACTCACGGGGCGCCTGGTGGAGACCGTAGACTGGCCGCCGGAGGCTCCACTGGGTACCAGGAGGAAACGACCCAGTGAAGCCAGGTGGGCGGCGCAGCCAGATCTCCTCGTGCAGGCTGCCCTGTAGGAAAGCTGTGCTGAAGTCAAGAGAGTTAAGCTCGTAGTCGCGCTCAGCGGCTATGTGCACCAGCACCCAAAGAGTGGTCATCTTCGCGGTGGGAGAGAAGGTCTGGAAGTAGTCAACCCTTTGTCGCTGACTGAAGCCTCGAGCCACGTAACGAGCCTTGAAGACAGGTGGAGAACCCGGCGGCCGTTTCACCCTGAAAATCCACATGCCACTGACGATGCTCGCCCCAGGTGGGGGAACCTCGTCGACGTAGGTGCTTGTGGACTTCCACGATGCCATCTCGTGTCCATTGCTGTCTACCGCTGAGAGGAGTAGGGACCCTCTATCGCCTCTGCGTAAGAGCGCGGGGTCGGGATGTCTGGTGCATCCGGGTCTCCCTCAGGGGCAAGCAGCATGGATACGAGATGAGGTAAAGAAGCAGCAAAACACTGGAACTCCTCCTGCCTGTCCTCAAGGACGTCCGTGCTAAGAGCACACTCACCCCCGACGGACGAAGGACAGACAGACTCAGACTCAGCAACAAGACTCGCGGCGTAGTCTAGACGATCGTGAGCAGCGAAGTTGACAAGCTCAGCAACTAAGGCAGTCACAGCAGTGGACTCAAAGGAAGGGTCAGTGACAACAGTAGCCAGGAGACGCGTGACAGTAGGACTAGCAGCACAAAGGGAGTCAGACTCCGGGTCAGCAAGAGCAGGAAGAGAGGACTCTGGAGGAGACGGCAAAGGGACACGCAGTGGAGCAGTGGAAGGACACAGTGCCATCTGGTGTGTGCTTGGGACTGCAGGAGGACGCTGACGCGGAACACGACGACCAGTGCGAGTAGCACGAACAGGCGACGTAGGACGAGACTCAGGCTCACGACGCTGAGCAAGACCTCCAGTAGGACCAGTGTAGGAAGAAGGAGCAGGCAGTGGGGAGGCCAGCTGTAACCGTGACTTGGACTGGACAGGCGGTGGACACTCTAAGGAAGGAGCAGGACCAGTAGAAGGCGGGAGACGAAGAACCTGCTCAAGGAGCGGAAGGAAGTACGGCCGCGGCCGCGCAACACTTCCAGAACCAGCAGGGACAGCACCAGCACCCCTAGCGTCAGCTCCAACAGCTCCAGCAACACCACCAGCTGCTCCAGTAGCGCCAACTCCAGCACCCACAGGAGCACCGGCTCTAGCAGCACCTCCAGCTCCAGCACCTCCAGCAGATCCAGCTCCAACTGGACTACCGGAAGACGACGCAGCTCCAGCTCCAGTACCTCCAGTAGCACCTACTCTAGCAGCACCGCCAGCTCCAGCACCGCCAGCAGTTCCAGCACCAGTAGCACCACCAGGCCGAGCAGCTCCAGTACCTCCAGTACGAGCACATCCGGGACCCGTGGCTCCAGAACCCCCAGCAGCCCCAGGAGTAGAAGGATGTCCAGCAGCAACAGAACCTCCAGTGCCGGAAGAACCACCAGCTCCAGCAGCACGGCTCCAGCGCCGAGCAAACCACTCGCGCAGCTCGTGCGGAGAGAGTAGCTCCCGCCGGGACGAAGCACCCGAAGGACCTCCAGGCCCAGCACCGCCAGACTCCACACGAGCAGGCCCAGTACCCTCTGGCTCCGCACCCCCAGACCCAACACCCCCAGGCTCCCCACGCTCAGGCTCAGCACCTCCAGACCCGGCACCCGCAGGCTCAGCACCCCTAGCAGCACCAGAGTCAACAGCTACCTCGACAGGCTCGACTGCGTCTACCTGGGACACACCTGAGGGGACAGGACCCTGAGGGGGGAGGGGGTCTACCGGGGGGGGACCTGGCGCGAGGAAGAGCGGCGGGGGGGGGGGAGGGGGGCAGCGCGGTAGGGGAAGAGACAATACTAAGGAGCGGACTCGTCAAACGTGACGTCCTAGGAGGACAGAACACGGCACGAGGTGGGGTGGTAAAACTGCCAACCAGGCGCGTCAGGGGGGAAGCCAAGGAAGACGCAGGGAACAGCACGGGAGGATAGCTTGTCCGCAGACAAGTCACGGACGAGCTATCCTCACCCTTGCGTGTCCGCTTGGAGAAAGGCAGCGCGGATCGAGTCGATCAACACCTCTGTAACCTCACCCTTGCGGCGCAAGGGGAAGACTGTGGTGTAACGCGAGTAGTCGTCAACCACCAGCAGGAAGTAACGCTCGTGACCCTGTCCACGGATGCGGGCTGGGCCCCTCACGTCCAAATGGAGAGTCTGCAACGGAGCCTCTGTCGGAGGAAACTCGGAGGAGTGAGGAGCGGCACGCTGCCGCCCCTCGACGCAAGGAACGGAGGTAGGGGCAGGTCCCGGGGGAAGGGGCGGGAGGGATTGGGGGAGACCAGAGACAAGGACACGGGAGGCCATGCTTCGGAGACGAGGCAGGGAGGGGTGACCAAGGCGGTGGTGCCAGAGGAGAGTCTGGTGAGACAGGAGACGACACGAGGAGGGGGCAAACTCAGGACCAGACCTGGACGCTGCAGCAAACACCTGACCCGACGCAGCTACCTGACCAGACGCAGTAACCGGAGGA